ATACCTTTAAATCATCCACAGGAATGACTGGCTTTCAAATACAGCTCAGTATTGAGGAGTGAACGCATCTGTAGGGCGGAATACCAGCCAGGGGCTGTCACTGACTCTAGTCTATTCTCTGCTTCTTAGCAACCTGGCTCCCTCAGCCCTGCAAGGTAGATGAACGGGTGTGTGTCCCGTCCTGGTTATTCAGAGAACAGAAACCTTCCTCTTCACACCAGTGGGCTCAAGTTTTCACTTGTAATTTTAGACAGTCCTCAGGACTTGTTCCATAATTATGCATTTTCACAGATAAAAGACTCCTTAGTAAAGATAATCATGAGAATTTCCAGAGTAAATACGTAGGGGTGTCATTCACACCAGCCGGATTATGTGTTCTCTGGATCTAACCATCCGCAGAGAAATCCGTGAGAATGTGAGCGGCTCCTCTCACCTCGATGAGTTCTTCAGCCCCGCCACTCATTGACTTGAACCACTGCAGACTCATGCAATGGTGGACACAGCCCTGACCAGAAGCCCATCCTGGGAATTTGGGACAAGGACCGGGAGAGATTCAGAGTCCCTTCCCGTGGCTGGAACCGTGAGAGAGAGAGAGACCTCAGAGGAGAGAGGAGGAAGGGAGAGAGATCCAGAGGTGTCCAGGTCAGTTCCTGAAGACCCTGGTGTCTTTGAGACTCCTGGGACCCCTCCTGTCATACTCCTTCATATCTGGCTCAAATTGCTTTCTATTACTTGCAATTTTGATAGAACAAATGATATGATGGACCAGGCAGTTAATCACATCATGCCTCAGTTTCCTCGTCTGTTCATGAAGAAACATCATTCATTCACTCAGCAAATATTTATTGAATGCTTTCTTTGTGCTAGGCATTGTTGTGGGTGATGGCAGACATAGCAGGGAACAAAAGAGATATTAAAAATTCCTTTATGAAATGTAACTGCTGCTAAAAGGGTCTCTGGAAATAAATATATGAAAGACATAACTTTCAAACCAGGTACCAGCCGAAGAGCTGGCTGACACAACAGGCAGAGCACCCATATGGGGCCAGGGTCACTGAAAACAGTACTCCTTTTGGCTTTACAGTAAGATGGGATCAAAAGGGTTCACCTATTATATAGTGTCTTTTCTTTCACGTCTTTCCTTGGGCCCCCGCTGAAGTCCCCTCCTGTTATTCTGCTGTAGGCCTCCCCACGACCCGGTTTCCACACCAGTAAACCCTCTCTTGCCCCGAGTGATTTGAGTCTTTATGTATTTTCACAGATAAAAGACTCCTTAGTAAAGATAATCATGAGAATTTCCAGAGTAAATACCTAGGGGTGTCATTCACACCAGCCGGATTATGTGTTCTCTGGATCTAACCATCCGCAGAGAAATCCGTGAGAATGTGAGCGGCTCCTCTCACCTCG